GTCCAAGAACACCTGGGTTACCATAGTGACAGCTTGCTCTCTGTGCGGATCACAGGCAAAAACAACAACAACAACAACAACTTTGAAGTGGGCTCTTCTAGTCAACTTAAGCTTTCTATGGCCGAGAAATCTCCTTTGGTGAAGCCTGCTGTGGACCCTGCAGCTGCCAAGCTCTGGACCCTCTCAGCCAATGACATGGAGAATGAGAGCGTGGATCTCATTGACTCAGATGAGCTGCTGGATCCAGATGATTTGAAGAAGCCCGATCCAGTTTCCCTGCGGGCTCCTTTCATGTGGAGAAGGGAAAAAGAGGAAAGCCTGCAGGAACCGCACTGACGGCCTTGCCAAAGAACTGGAAGAAGAGGAGTCAAGGGAACACGTGAGCTCCCAACCCAAGTCGGCCTGTGGAAACTGCCACCTGGGCGATGCTTTCCGCTGTGCCAGCTGCCCCTACCTCAGGATGCCAGCCTTCGAACTTGGGGAGCAGGTGCTCCTGAGCAATAGCAATCTCAGTGATGCCTAGAAGGGGCCCAGCGTGGGGCACATCTGCTCCTTCGGCTGACTCCTGTCTCTCAGATCCCACTGCTGTGGTTCCTCCCATCTCTGGATTTGCTCGCACCTGTTGGAAATCCATTCGTGGGGAGGGTGCTTAGTAGATAGAGTGAAGCTGGCTGTGGGGTGCAGTGGTGAGTAGAGCTGCTGTGGATCAAAAGACCAGGCATCACGGGACCCGGTTACCGTGAGCGGGGGCGTTTCTTCACCTAGTGTTAGGGAAACAGGATGCGTCCTGAAGAGACCCCTCGTGGTGTCAACATGCTGACCGTAACACTCTCCGAGCCCAGACATCCTTAAGATTAACACCCTGACAAAGATGGCCTGCCCCTATCTGAAGCTCAGTATTAATTGTGTCACTGCTTGCTTTCTGGAATTGGCGGTTTTTCTCAACATGAAGTTCCTGGTGACATGGTCAAGTGTCTCATGACCTCAGGGCACCAGAGGAATCACTCGTTGGTTGCTGTGATCATAGCCAGAGTCCCTCTACCCCCTTCTACCCCCACCTACCCTGTTTTAGTGTATTGCATCTGTGTTCCGTTGTTTTTTCTGTTAATCTACAGTTATTAAACTTGTGTATTTCCACGTATCAAAAAAATATATTATCTTTGGTATTATTGGGGGATTATTTGATTCGATCAAAGAAATAGTAAACATCGTAATTGCAATATCGCAAAATGATATCATATATCGTTAGATATATTTGAAAAGTTTACCTGCTGGAAAAAAAAAAAGATCAAGCCCACTAAAAAGATGGGAATTATCATAGGATCATGGGATTTAAAAATAATCCTTCTTGTCGGGAATTTCTAGTTTCTATTTTTGTAGTAATTTGATATGATCAGGCCTATTCTCTATTTTGGATTCGTTTTTCAAGAACACGGCCATGATAACCAGATTTAAGGATCAGTTTGAACTTCCAGTACTGGTCTGAGTATTAAATCCATCTGAAGCAGATATGGAGCATTAGCCAGCATTGACAGGGAAAGTTAATTGAGTTTTAAAACTACATTTGAACCCCAAACATGACTTAGTGAATCTATTTCTTTGGAAAGGACTAAATAATGTATGATAGCATTTCTAACAACATATTTTGAAATTCTCATTGCATCAGTGGTAATACTGCAAAAGCAACAAAGTCAGTTGTAGATATGTATCAGAAGAAATCTAAGGGAGACTCCGTTGAACGGACTTAGAACAAAATATAAATTAGTGGCAATAAATTCAGGGATCTCATTGCATTTAATTAATAAAGGTTGCTCTAAAAAATCATATTAATAAAGCCATAATTAAAAGTACTTATAACCCAATGATAAGAAAGCTACAACACGAAAATTACATTTTGTAATTATTTACTTATTCTGGCATTACCTGGATGTTAAAAAAAATCTTACTCAGATACTTTTCCCAGAAATATACCCAACCAACCCCACGGCCTCGTTTATTACTGTTTATTCTTTCCAACCCATCCATACTCCTTGTCGCCTCCCAAAATACATTATGGTCTCCAAGTTCATAAGTACTAGGGACTCACTCTCTACCTTCACCTGAAGCCTGAAGTGAGATTTCAAAACAGGAGACATATCTCCTGACATATTTCAGTACCGTCCCAATCTCATATCATTACCTCAGGAGTTATTTTGACAGGAAACTCATAAATAAAACTCAGGTCATTTACGAAAATATCATGGCTTCTCAGTTTCTCTACTTCGGCAGTCTGTAACTTATTTCAGCATGATACACAGATTTCAATGGAGATTATTTCAGTCTGCCCACAAAGAATCTAGCTTTGTCTTGTACACAAATAAGACTGGCCTGTTATTACTTATCCCAGCTGTAGCTTTTATTCTGGTTGTTCACCTGTATCCTTGTGCTTCCATTTCCCTGTTCTCCTTGTGTTGAACTGATTTCTGATCCTTTTCTTTCTCTTAAATGTAAACATAGTCATTAGAAATGCGAGCATCAGAGTCTTTATTTTCAAGTGGCTGCGCCCAAAGACTTAGATATTGAAATACATACTCTTTTCTTATAAATTATTTGATTTTAGTTTTCCTTTGCATTACACTTAGAGCATTATTATTGTTTTTTTTTTACATTGTGGGGATGGGTTATGTTACTTGTGAATCTCTTTTAGGATTATCAAAGTGATGTCGCGAAATATGTTATAAAAAGTGTCTGAGTCTGACAGAGCTCAGAACAAGTGCCTCAGAGCAGCAGTTCTTAACCAGGGGCAATTTTGCCCCCCAGGGGACTTTTTGGCAATATGTGGAGACGCTGTGCATCACGGCTAGGGGAAGGTGCTCCTGGCCTAGTGGGTGTGGCCTACCCTGCTGCTACACATCCTGCAATGCGCGGGACAGCCCCACAACAAAGAATTATCTGGCAAAATATAGAAAGCCTGATCCATACTCTCCCAGACGCGGTCCCTCGCGGACTCAAACCTCACTATGCCGCGCGTGATCATCGTAAGGGAAACGGGAACGGGCGGACGGGAGAGTGTACAGAACTCCACGTCCTATTTGCTCAACTATTCTGTAAAGCTAAAACTGTACTAAAACTAAAATCTATTATTTATTTTTAAAAACGATGTTGGTAATTTTCTGAGCCTAGACCCTAATCTCATTTTACACATGGACACAATGTACTATTTGTAAGATTTGAACATACACCCCATTTTTTCAGCAACGCAGCTACTGTCTATGTAGAGGGACAGCTGCACTCTGTTTTGTTTGGAACTTTGCCAAGACTTGGTAACCGTTTAGGAAAATCACATCACCGATGGCCAGCTAGTCTTTCAGTGGCCGCCGGTTCACTACTTGCCTGTATTGTGCATTCACTGGGGTTTTAAAGAGAGAGGCCAGCATCCAACTGCTTCACTGCGCCTGAGTGTTCAAACACTCAAACACACGCTATTTATTACTTCTTTGAAAAATTTTATCCCATATCTCACAATTAGGATATTATATTGACACTAAATTTTTGTGTATAGGTAGGTTTTACTATCTATTAATTTCATCGCAGGATAGTAACAAAATATTTGTTATTAAACGGGTGACCGATTCTGATTGAATTGAGAACCTCTCCTTTAAAATGAAATCCGAGCTCTTTCCTCAGCCCTCAGGCCTGTCATAACCAGCCCAGCTGTCTGTCAGAGCCTCTGCCCTCTCCTTCCACCATGCCTGCCAAAGGGATCTATTTGTGTCCCAGAATGTGTCAGCATTCTCACAACCGGGGTCTTGGTACAGGCTGTTCTCTTCCTGAAATGCCCTCATCCTCTTCAGTCGGGGCCTCCAGGAATGTTCCCCAAACCTCAGCTCTTCCTTCCTTTAAAACTTGTGCCACAGCTGTGCCCCACCTGCAGTCTCGTTTGGTTAATTTTTTAAAATGACTCATTTTTCATAAATACATTTATTTTGAGTTACATGTATAAACAAATTTATTTTAAAATTTAAAAAATCATAAAAACGTGTGGTTTTATTTAACAAATTTATATTTTTAATTTACTTACATTTCATTTGTATTCATTTTAATAAGTGGATTCTGATTTAATTATATTTAATTTTAATAAATTTATGTGTTCATTTACTAAACTATACAAAATTTTATTTTTCAAAAAAAGCGTGTGTCTTTATTATAAATATATGAATAGGAAACTATTCATATGAATAGCCCTAAATATATGAATAGCCCTAAAAATAAAGCAACTATAAAAATAGAAGAAACATAAAAGATTTTAATCTCTAGATGAAACCGTCAGCAGAAGCCCTGAGGCCGGCTCTTTGTAAGACAGAGTAATTAACAGGTGTTAGAAACATGTTAGTATACTAAATTGAGACGTTCTGCCTTGATATATTCCGAAGGCTTGAGAGCAAATTAAAGAGAATAGCTTTCTCTTTCAGTGTAATTTAAAGCTGTCTCTGTTCTCCCTAAAATCTCTTGTATATCATTAAGATCCGTTTATTCACTGAGCATTTACCAAGCACCTGCTATGGTCCAGGCCGTGAAACACTGACCCAGACAAGCAGTGTTTGCCTCACAGTTGGCTGGGGGGAAGAAAACACAAGGAGTGGTGGCCATAAAATTTCATTACTTACGAAAATAATTTGTGACTTAGAGCCTCTCACTTCGCCAGCATCCGCTATATGCACGGTGATTGCAGAGAAAAGCAAACCCGCTCGTAAATTGTATGAGTTAGAGTAAATTAATTTCAAAATTACAATGGTCTAGAATTTTTACAAAGTGTTTCACAGAAGAAAAAAAAATGGGAGGCGGGTTCATCTTCCCAAGTCAGCCGCCTCTAAGCCGCACTCGGCGGCGTGGGGGGCAGTGGGAAGTCGGGAGCACGAGGCGCGGCCGGGGTCGGAAGTGGGAGTGTGAAGAACCGGCCTTGGGTAGGTGGGGAGGGGTGATGAGACCTTCTGTCCCCGCCCCGGGGGCGGAGCCTAGGTCCCAGCCTGCGGAGCTCGGGACCCGCGCTCGGCTCCCTCCCGCGCTCACGCCTCTCGCCTTCCCTTCGGGGAGACCTGACCACTCCCCCGCCAACCGCAGGCGAGACCTGGCCTCCCGCCCGGGTCCTCCGCCCGGCGCAGGTGCAGGTGCGGCACCCCACCTCTCTCCCACCCAGGCACATTCCGCTGGGCGGCCATGGCTCGAGGAGACACCCCGCAGGACAGGCGAGTTGGGGACCGAGTGGGGCGCGGACGGGGATCCTGGCGGCCGCGGGCAGCGCAGACCTTGGGCAGCTTCCTTCGGGCGCTCCAAGGCTCGCAGCAGACCTGATGAAACTACAATTCCCATCAGCCACCTCCCTTGGCTGCCTGAGCCGGGATGATGGGGGCTGTAGTCCGCTCTCCGGAGGGGGCGCCCTGGGAGGCGGGAGGGGCGGCCGAGGAGCTGCGTCCTCGGGGTGACCTTCTTACTGATCCCCACAGCTACCACCTGGTCGGGATCAGCTTCTTTATCCTGGGGCTGGGCACTCTCCTGCCCTGGAACTTCTTCATCACGGCCATCCCGGTGAGACACGCGGCTGGAGTGGCGGCCCCAGGGCCACAACCACCGTCTGTCCCTCCAGCCGCCTTGGACCTGAGGGGTACCAGAAGCTTTCCCTTCCCCGCCGCCTTTGACTCCTCATTATGTCTGGGTGTCAGCTGAAGCCAGGAGCCTCAGAGAGGGACGGTGCCTCTCATGGCTAGGAAGGCCAAGCTTTCAGGGATGCCCAGACCTTACAGGGCCAAGGCCACCAGCCCAGGGGGTCCTGTGGAATCACCACTTCTGTTTGTCATTATTCTTGAGCTAGTCACTCCAAAAGCGGATTTCCCAAACCTTTGTTTTTCTTTGAAATAGCACGAATTACAATCATTCATCCAACAAATAGTCATTGTGCACCCACTGCGGGCCAGGCCCCATTCTTGGCACTGGGAACATAACAGAGGAAGTCTCCATCCTCATGGAGCTTATATTCTCTCAAGGGGAGGCAGAAATGTGGGGCTTGTATCCCCTTTGGGCCTGGGCTATTCATATATATTCAGTACAACAACTGTCCTCTTCAGTGCCTGGCTCAGGGCTGGGCCCTGGAGACCCACAGCAGAATCCACCCTTGGTCTTGAGAGCGAGATGGGTACCAAAGAGCGATTAATAATGTAACGTGACATGTGGCATCGAAGGCTTGGAGCAGAGTCCTGTGGGTCCTCAGGGGAGGGAGCAAATCCTTCCGCTTTATTGAAGAGGTGATTTGTAACTCAGGAGAAGGGTAGGTAAAGCATTAGGGGTCCGTCAGGAAGAGGGGGATGGGCATTCTGGGCAGAAATGGCACCAAGGCAGGGGAGGGCCAGCCTGTCCAGAGAAAGGGGTGCCTGGAGTTTAGTGGAATGAAGCAGGAGATGGGGCACAAAAGGGAGGCCGAGGTCTGGTTCCGAAGGGCCTCAAATGCTGTTCCAAAACCTTGGGGCTTTGCCCTTGGGGGGCGGGGGAGGTTAGGCAGAGGCGAGACAGGATGTGTGTTCCAGAGGGAATGCGGTGGGTCGGAGTCTGGCTCACCTTAGGTGCCGGGTACTCAGAACTCCAGGAGCTGCTGCAGGAGTGGGAGTGGAGGCTGGAACCAGGGCACTGAAGAGGGAGGGTGATCTGAAGATGGAGCAAGGCCCAAGTTGGGGGTTCCTAGGGCTTGGGCTCTGTCCCAGACTTTAGCTGTTCAATTCAATGCGTATTCACTGAGCTCCCACTGTGTGCCAGGTGCTGGGACAGCACAAGGACAAACAGAGACAGTCCCCACAGACATTAACCAAGCCATCCCAAGCGCAGGCTCAGGGGGGAGGCAGGGGGAAGGCTGGGGGATTCCTGAGGGTAGGTTGTAGGGTGACCATGTACAACCCCTCCCCTGGCATCCTGGCAGTACTTCCAGGGGCGGCTGGAGGGCACCAACAGCACCACTGGGACCCTGTACACCAACCACACGGGTCCTACGGACACCTTCAACTTCAACAACTGGGTGACACTGCTGTCCCAGCTGCCCCTGCTGCTCTTCACACTCCTCAACTCTTTCCTGTACCAGTGGTGAGAGGCCCGCCCTTGGGCTCTGTCCCAGGCCACCCCTGTGTGTCCCTGTCCCGCCCCCCGCTGAGGCAGCTCCATCTGGGCCCAGGGAAGACCTCCCATCCTTCCCGCGCTCCCCTTGCACCTCCCCCAGCCCCCACTGTGCAGCCCTGGGAGGGGGCTCTCGCCTACCTTGCCCTGCCTGGCCTGGGCCCGGCCGGTGCCCACTCTGGCTCTCCTTATGAGCAGCATCCCCGAGACGGTGCGGATTCTGGGCAGCCTGCTGGTCATCCTGCTGCTCTTTGCCCTGACGGCGGTGTTGGTCAAGGTGGACATGAGTCCTGGGTCCTTCTTCTCCATCACCATGGCCTCCGTCTGGTTCATCAACTGTGAGCACCGCTGCCCCTACCCACCTCCCTGCCAGCCCACCCAGGGTTCAGCCCAGCCTTTGTTGTAGCTGAAAAGGCCCAACATATCCAAAAAGAGAAGACAGCTGTATCATCACCCATGTCCCTGATAGGAAATTGAGGCCAGGAGGGAGAGGAAAAAAGCCCTTGTCCCAGACCTCACAGCAACCAGAGAGCTGGCCTCCTGGCCCCTAGCCCTACAGGCTTCGGGATGCCCCTCAGAAGAGGAATGAATGGGGGTGCGTTACACCAGAGCACCAGGAGTCTCATGCCTCCCAGCCTAGTCCAGAATCCTCTGCGCACCCTGCCGACACCTCCAGGGGGCCCCCGAGGCCTGCCTACTGGAGCAGCGGCCCCCATTCTTGTCCCTCCACAGCCTTCTCTGCAGTCCTGCAGGGCAGCCTCTTTGGACAGCTGGGCACCATGCCTTCCACCTACAGCACCCTCTTCCTCAGCGGCCAGGGCCTGGCTGGGATCTTCGCTGCCCTTGCCATGCTCATGTCCATGGCCAGTGAGTGGACTTGGGTGGCTGGAGGGCAAGATGGCCTCTGAGATTCTGGGGAGCAGGGAGAGTGTGCCAGGAGTGAGATGCCTTGGAGATGGAGGTGGTGGGGCGATGGGGAGCTGGGGGTTGGGTTTGGGGAGGAGCAGGGCTCTCGAGCGACTGGGTGAGGATTGGGTTCACCTGGGGCAGGAGTCCTGAGGCCAACACTGGTTTGTGGCAGCAGGTTGAGGATTTGGAAAGGAGGGACCATTTTGGGATTCAGATAGACCTGGGTTCGAATCCCGGTTCCCCTGCTCCCTAATGGGGGGCATCGGACAAGGCACCAAACCCGTGTCCCTTTCCCCATTAAATGATTATTATAGCACTGTCCTCAGATTGTAATAATTCACGTAATAATAATGAGTACATAGTAGGTGCTCAAAAAAATGGCACATAGGGAACAAAGAGAGAAGTGCAGGGCTGGGCTGGGCCCTGCACAAGCCTCCCGAGTTTGTCAGGAAGAGGCCGGGAGGTTCACCTGAGAAAGTGATAATGCGGTGTGGGACAAGAGTTATTAGCTCTGTGGGAGCCAGTGGGACCAGCCATCGCCCCTTTGCAACTGGAGTTTCTCCGCAGGTGACGTGGATGCCCAGACCTCTGCCCTGGGGTACTTCATCACGCCCTGTGTGGGCATCTTCGTGTCCATCGTGTGTTACCTGAGCCTGCCCCACCTGGTGAGCTTGGCAATGAGCTTGAGGCCGCACTTCAGAGCATCTCAGAGTCAGAGATCCCAAGAGAAGCCAGGGGAGGTCGGCGGGGGGAACCTGGGTCCAGTCCTGATCCCCAAAGGAGTCAGCCACTGCGGGACCCCCAGCCTCTAAGCCAGCGGGATGGGGAGGGATCCAGATACCTCAACCAAGACAGGCAGGGCCAACACTTTCTTTCTGCAGGATTTCGCCCGCCACTACCTGGCCAAGAAATCATCCCAGGCACAAGGTCAAGAGCTGGAGACCAAAGCTGAGCTCCTCCAGTCTGGTGAGCCCTGAATCCTGCCGGGGAGGTGGAGACCCTGAGGAGGCTAGAGCCACCTCCACAGGGAAGCTGTCCCTCTGTCCCCAACTAGAGCCCTCACCCCTAGTGCCTTGTGTGAGCAGAGGCAGAAAATCATGAAGGAAAGTCAGGGGGATTTAAGTCATCCCTGCTGCCTTGTGGGCCTCGCTCTCCTCCCCTATAAAATGGGGAGGCAGTAGAACCTCAGGCGTGCAAGCTCTAGATCCAGATGCATCTGAGTTCGAGTGCTGGCTTCACAACATTCAAGCTCTGTGACCTTAGGCAAGTCACTTAACCTCTCTGAGCTTCTTTTTCTTTGTAGAGCAATGGCAGGGAGATAATCCACTAGGGTACTTAGTCTGCCTGGCACGTGCGTGTGCTTATTGAATAGTAGCTAAGCGTATTTCTGTTGTTAATTCTCTTTGCCTTCACGCTGGGCTGAAGGAGGGTCATTCGTTTTAACTGCTGGGCGTCTCCCTGTCTCAGGCAAGGGTCACAGGCATGATCCTGCCCTCCCCTCTCGCCCCAGATGAGAAGAACGGGATTCTCAACAGCCCCCAGAAGGCAGCCCTGACTCTGGATCTTGACTCTGAGAAGGAGCCAGAACTGGAGCCTGAGGCACCCCAGAAGCCAGGAAAGCCTTCGGTTTACATTGTCTTCCAAAAGGTTCGGCTTGGATATAACTCCCAACCACCATCCCCGGGGAAGAGAGGGCCGCTCTCTCCAGCCTTCCCCAGAGACTCAGCATGGAATGGGGCCTCAGTACTCACCTTGTTCACCCCAAGGTGACAGGGTCACAGTGGGTTGGGGTCACAGCCGAGCCAGGCCCCAGCTGTCCTGCTGTCGGGGGCCAGGGTTCAGGCAGGAGGGTCGGGGCTGAGTGCCCCGCCCGCTCACACCCCTGCCTCCGGCTCCCAGATCTGGCTGACGGCGCTGTGCCTTGTGTTGGTCTTCACAGTCACCCTGTCCGTCTTCCCCGCCATCACGGCCATGGTGACCAGCTCCACCAGTCCTGGGAAGTGGAGTGAGTGTTGGGAAGCAGAAGAGGGCAGAGCAGGGGAGTGAAGGGGAGAAAAGGAAGAGGGGAGCTGGGACCAAGACGAGCCCTGTGCCCCCCGCCCCCAGGTCAGTTCTTCAACCCCATCTGCTGCTTCCTCCTCTTTAACATCATGGACTGGCTGGGACGGAGCCTGACCTCTTACTTCTTGTGGGTGAGCGCACCCGGGCTGGGGTGATCTCGTGGTTTTAGGAAGCCGTCGGGGGTCAGAGGGTGTGAAAGAGCAGAGAAAGGTGATTTCCTGGCAGTCCGACTGGTCTGGGCCTGGCAACGGATCAGCCCACCAGCGGGTAGTGAGCGCCTGGCTTCTGGAGGTATGCAAGTCAGGGCTCAGGCTGTGAGCCTTTTGAAAGCAGAAGCTATGTCCAGTTGACCTGTGTCCCCAGCAGCCAGCTCAGGGCCCAACCTTCGGCGCTCAGACACTTATGTGGAGGTCCCTGTGCCATGTGAGAGTTGGGACGAGCTTCCCAGCGTTTAGATTGCTTTGAGCCACGGTGCTGCTGCTTTAAATGAAATCTTCCAAGGAGACACGACAAAGTACATCAAAGAGGAGCCACTCTGATCCAAGCCGGGGTGGTCCCGGATCCCCAGCTTCCAATCCACTCTGGCAACCCCATCTGCCCCAAAGCGATCTGTGGAACCCCCAGGGCCATTCAGAGGAACCGAGTTTGAAACCGAAGATGCCCTCTACGTCTCTTCCAGTTCTGCCACGGGGAACACAAGGGGAGGCCGGGAGAGGCAGAGGCTAGCCCCAGGCTGGTCCTTGATTGCTGGGTGGCCTTGGCCCAGCCTCTGGCTCTCCAGAGGCCCAAGAGCTGGGACCCCACTAGTTCCTGTGGGGTAGATCAGGGAAGTGAGGGATGAGTCTATCTTAGGTACCCCTGGGGGAGAGGCCCCGTTCCCGGGGACCGCCCTCACGCCAGCTTCCGCCGCAGCCGGACCAGGACAGCCGGCTGCTGCCCTTGCTCGTCTGCCTGCGCGTCCTGTTCATCCCACTCTTCATGCTGTGCCACGTGCCCGAGAGGTCCCGGCTGCCCATCCTCTTCCCGCAGGATGCCTACTTCATCACTTTCATGCTGCTCTTTGCTGTTTCCAATGGTTACCTGGTGTCCCTCACCATGTGCCTGGCGCCCAGGTCAGGGGGACAGCGGGGAGGGCCTGGGAGTGGGGAGGCGGGCTAGCTCTTTGAGGGGCGACAGCCTGCAAAGGGAGGGCGCATTCTGCTCTGGCCAGCCCAGCCCAAGCTGTCTCCAGACCTCACTGGCACCACCCTGTTGGGTCAGCCCTGAAGTCCTGAGTGGGCCCCAGGCCAAGAGCTGCCTAGGAGAGTAGCCCAGGCTGTGATTCTGGGCCCTCCTCTCTGGGCCTCAGTTTCCCCGTCTGTGAAATAAATGGGTCGGATTGTCATTCCTTAGAGCCTCGCTACTCCCAGAATTCTCATTTGAAAGGGAACTAAAGTTCTGGTCAAAAGCAGGGTTCGTGGGCTATTTACTCTAGGGACAATGGAGTTGAGAATCCAGAGGGGTGACAGGGTAGGGGGGACCAGTTTGGGGACATCTTATCAAGAAGGAAGGCAGTCGAATCTAGAATCTTATAATATTGGACCCTAGGGGCCCAAGGAGATGTCCTCGTCCATAGGTTTCATGTTACAGATCAGGAAACTGAAGTCCAGAGTCAAGGGCCTAATTACAGTGGCCGGGAGGTTGGGTCAGCCCAGACCAGAACTCCGGTGTCTTGTTGTAAGGAGGACGGGGACACTGGGGTGGGTCCAAGTTTGGCCCAGCATTTTCTAAGAGCTCCTATTCCTGTGCGTTCTAGGCAGGTGCTGCCACATGAGAGGGAGGTGGCCGGTGCCCTCATGACCTTCTTCCTGGCTCTGGGGCTGTCCTGTGGAGCCTCCCTCTCCTTCCTCTTCAAGGCGCTGCTCTGAAGTGCTCCATCCAGGGCTCTCCCAGCCGCTCTCTTCTCGCTGCTGCTTTCAGAGCCGAGACCCAGCCCAGGGGAATGGCGACCTGGACTCAAGCCTCTGCTGGGCTGGGGCCCCTTGGTCTGGAGGTGCCAGGAGGAGGCAGGTGCTGCTCTCCTGCCCGGGCTGGCGGCCACTTGGGGTGCTGCAAGGAAGAATTCACCACCAGTCATTCCAACCCTCACCCAGGAATGGAGGTGACACACACAGACACCCATAAGACCTCGCCGAAAGGGTGACAATCAGAGAAAAGAGAGCCGAGGGCCACGGCCCCTCCTCGCCATCAGGAATTTGTTCATCGCAAGAAACCTACCTGCTAATCGCCGCGGATCAGAGGCTACTAGCGAGGTCTTGCCAAAGGTGTGGCTGGTGTGGCCCCAACCTCAAGTTCAGAGTGGACGTGGGAACCAACCCAGGGCGGGAGCTCTTCTTCTCTCCAGGCCTCAGCAACCCATGGTCGAGTCTGCTGGACCCCAGGACAGAGGATGCCAGGGAGGGTGAGGGGAGCAGAGAGAGGAACAGGTATTAGGGATCTACGGGTGCTCAGAGGACCCCCTGGGCCTCAAACAGTGTTTTCGTTGCCAACACTTACTGTCTCCATTTCCCAGAACTCCGCTGGGCCTGGTCCCAGGTTCGCAGTCAGCCTGCATGCGTGCACTGCACTTTACAGTTTGTAAAGCTCTCCTACACCATCTCTCTCACGGAAGCCACATTGAGGCCCTCGGAGGGAGCCAGGCAGGGATTGTGCTCCCCCTTAGTACAGGTGAGGAAACCGAGTCCCAGGATCAAGGTACCGGTCCGTGGCAGAGCCGGGACCCAGCCCCCACCCCCCACC